AACCAATCACAGTCTCCCACTCAATTCCTGGTTAAGAAATAATATGTTGCATTTGACAACTGGCAAAGATTAACAGTCAGCAGTAGCTACTGTACCAACTGACTCACTTGGGGATTTAAACCATGACCTTGGCCTCATTATCATGCTGCTATAATCTACTGAGCAAAATAGCTACAAAAATAAATTCTGAAAACAGGAAGGAAAAATTTGCTATTTGTGTCTCTATGCTTAAGCCACTGTGCATCTGTGTCGTTTGAGTAATTCTATATTAGCAGGTATTTAGATATAGGTGAAAAACTGAAGGCAGGATATTCTCCTGAAAATCTAACCTGATCATGTCATTTCTCTGGCTAAAAAACTTCCACTGCCTAGTTACTACAAGACAAGTTCAAATTTTAAGCATAGCATTTAAACTGTAGCATAATCTTACCACAACTATTTCTCCAATGTTAACTTTTGCTACAACCCTTTCTTCATGTTCCAGTGATTTTCTTCATTATTTTGCAACTACTCATATATTTGTTCAACATATATTTATTGAGCTCTATGAATTCATGAGACACTCTGATAGGCCCTGGAAATAAAGGCACATTCCTTGCTGTTAAAAAATTCATAGTTCAGTTGAGGTTATAGACAAGGAAAGAAATGGCTACAACATACTGTGACAAGTGCTGTCTGTGAGCAGGGTATGTACAATGATCTGACAGCCTGGGGCAAACAGGTGGAAGGAGAAAAAGAAGATGAACATATGGTAGAGACAAAGAAGTTAACTGAAAGAGAAGGTTAATGAAAGGGAAGAAAAAAGGTAATCCAAGCTGATGGAAATAAAGTTACAGAGATGAGAAACTACACATTTGGTAAAGTACAAGAAGAATGTCATAGCTGAAGTGTAGGATGAGTATGTAGGTTGGATTAGAGGTAAGGTCAAGAGGTGAAAGGACCTGAATTCTAAAGAAACCTAAATATTTTGGAAAAGAGTTCAGAGCTTCTTTATATCCACTTTTTCTGCTGTTAAGAATGTTTTTTCCCTTTCTCCTGCCCAACTTAAACTAATAAGAATAAATCTTTTCCCAGAAATCTATTAAACAAATATTTGTTGGAACACTTACTAGATACCATGTGTTTTTCTGGGTTCTTGGGAAATACTAGTAAAATTCTTGCTGAGGAAGTAGATATAAATGATAAACATAATAAACTGTTGTATTATTCAACTTAGAGTAAAAATACAGTTTTAAGAGTGGCAGTGCAATGGAAAAAAGAAAAAGGAGGGTAAAGGAGGCTGGAGTAAACAGGGAGAGTATGGGACATGTTGAAATATTAAATAAAATGGCCAAGTAAGTAAAATTTGAAGGAGAGAGAGTTAGCCAAATGAATAGCTTTCCAAAAGATATTCTAGGCAGAGGGAACACTTAAAAGACAGTAACAGGAGATGAAGTCAGAAAGATCAAGTGGGACTTTTAGACTATTAAGGAGTTACATTAAGTGGGGAACCACCTTTGGATTTTGACTATTGGGGTGTTGTGACTAATGTTTTAGGATGCTTGCTCTTCATGCTGTACTGAGAAAATACTGTAAAGTTGCAAGGATAGAAGCAGGGAGAACTGTTAGAAGCTGCAGGAATGCCTAGTATCTATTTGTGTGCAGTAGGGGAGCAGCAATGATTCTGAGCATTACGAGGCAGCTAGATTTCTTAGCAGAATACTCGGTTCTCAGTAAATTATACTGATGTGATGATTTTAGTTCATAGTTGTGGACTTTAGATATGCCACCTAATACTACAGATTATAAGTTGCCCTTATTAATATGTAAAATTCAAAGTCCATGCTTTCACAGGCTTCACAAGCCTCTAGGATCTGCAGAAAAGGACTTAGATTTTGGAAATAGTTTGGGTCCTATTAAGACCTTGAAAATTCAGTGATGAAGATGGCCATCTTACTTCTAAAGTTAAACAAAAACACAGTTTTGACTCAACTTCGAATGTATTTATATACTGAGGGATATGCCCTAAAATATAATACCATACAAGACATAGTGAATAATGATAAACATTTAAAAAATATTTTTTTTAGTTATACATGGGCACAATATTTTTATTTTGTTTATTTATTTTTATGTGGTGCTGAGGATGGAACCCAGTGCCTCACATATGCGAGGCAAGTGCTCTGTCACTGAGCCACATACCCAGCCCAATGATAAACAATTTAACTAAAACACTAAACAGAACAGACAAATCAAAACCTCTAAGATCCATATTATAGAAAGACTAAAGAAGATCTTGTAAGATATTTTACTTTATTTAGTTCTGAATAGTCTTATGTTACATTGGGGCAATTATTTTGAAAAGTAGCTCACTTTGGCTAAAGCTCATTTAAAAATTATATATTAAAACCAATGCAAAATTTTAATTCAAGTGAAAAGTTTGTAACAGTACAGTATAGTATTTTCTACATAGCATTGCTTTTTGTGATGTTTATAAATGTTGGTATAATATATACTGTGACAAAATTTTATTTCATGAAGGTATGTGACTAATGGTAGACTTATTTATTTAATACTGGGGATTGAACTCAAGGATGCTTCACCACTGAGCTACATTCCCAGTACTTTTTATTTTGAAGCAGGGCCTTGTTCAGCAACTAAGGGTCATGCTAAGTTGCTGAGGCTGCCCTTGAACTTGCAATCTTCCAGCCTCATCCTCCAGTTACTGGGATTACACGCATGTGCTACCAAGCCTCGAAGTAGATAATATTAATATAATTCCACCTCTAAGAATTTTACTTAGTAGAAAAACTTATCTAGCTGTAGTAAAGACTGTAAAAAGGAAACAAACAGTAAGCCCACTTCTGCTTCAATCCTGTAAGAAGTCAAATGTCTCAGTGATTCAGGTTCATGTCCATAGAATCTCATATGTTGGCATGTCATTAAAGTAGGTGAGAGTTAAAATTCTTTAAATTAAAATTAAATAAATTGAGTTTATATGATCTCATCTGGTTTGCCTAGCTCCAAACAGATTAAATTCGATTTGTAGCATGTATGCATCTTGGAGAAACTGGTGATTAACAACGATAAATAACAATAAAAACAGCAGCTAAGTAGACCGTTTCCTTTTCTCTTTCCAATAACAGGGCATGGGAGAAAAAAACATAGAAATTTAAGCTTAGTAATCGCAGGAGATTTCTAGGGCTGCTTTGTCTGTTCCCAGTTCTTTTAAATTGGGAGCTAGTCAGATGGTACCTGGGGAACAGAAGGAGGAGGGAGAGAGCTTACTACACAACAAAGAGGTAAATATAATACAAACCCCAAAGGCTTTACCACCACTCACCAGACCATAATCTGACCTGGTATTAAACAGCGCGAGAGTGCAAGGCGGGTAGGGGTGTGTACATCCAGACACACAGCGTAACTCTGTGGTCCACAGCGCTTGGAGACCGCGGGAAGAGAGGGGTGACCCCTTGCCATTCACGCCCAGCCTAGTCCCCCACCTGGCAGCTCTTGGCCCCGCCCCCGCGGGAGGGTTGTCTGGGCGGTGCTCAACCCAGCGCAGAGCCAGGAGGCGGCCCCTTCATTCCTCCAGGAGTGGCTTTGCCTCTACCCTGGTCTTCTTTCATTGAGCCCTTCTGCCTGCTTCAAATATCAGACTTTTACAAAATCTCGGATCTCGCTTCTCTGCCTCCTCGCAGACTAACGTGAGAGCCCAAAGGGCCAAACAGGCAGAAGCCCTAGACCCAAGCACGCTCCTCCTCTCCTCCCGGTTGAGACTTGATAAATCTTCACCCTCAGCGTCCAGCCGGCCGCCTATTCATTCTCACCCCCTCCTCGACAATCCCTGAGTGTCCCAATCTCACCTCCACGGTCTCCTGCGTCTTTTCCTCAGTACTTCTCCGAGAATTCTCTCCCACCAGCCCTGTTTTCCAGAACTTCCTCACCCCGCATCACCACCTGAGGTCCCACTCCCTCTTATCCCCCCACCCCACACCCAGGTAACTCCTCGCAGCTCTTACTCCTTCCTGGCTCCCATCCCTGACATTTCAGGGGGACCCCCTTGTGCACGTTCTCCCCATTCCAGGACTCCACCCCGGACAGCTCCCGAGCCCTTTCTCCACGCGCTCCACTCCTTCCCCTCAGGGCCTGACACGCCAGCGCCTTTCCCCGGTACCCCCACCCAACTCCGTCTGCGACCTGATAACTGGCGCTTCACCGCACGCACGCTCCCTACCCGCCCCACACCTCGGGCGCCGCCGCCCAGCCCCCACGCTCACACCCCTCTCAACCTCCCCACCTGCCACAGCTGGCACGCTCTTCTCCACCTTCGCTCCCACTCTTCCCCGCACTCTCGGCAATCCGTGTCCCTCTTCCTGACCACTCCCGCTCCGGCCCCAACCCATTTGGGTGGGGCGCCCGCCGTGCCCCGGCCTGGGCAAAGGGGAGGTGACGCGGCCCCCGCGGGGAGAGCCTGGAAGGCGGAGGGGCGGAGGCGGCGGCACCCAGCAGCGGCAGTGCAGCGAGCGGGCCCTACGCGCCGACTCCACAGACCCAAGGGGCGGCGGCGGCGGCAGCCGAGGGACCCCGAGCAGCGCGTGATGAAGGCGGGGAGCCCGACCCCGCTGCGCGTCGGAGCTCGCTTGAATCCGGACGTTGACAGTGGAAGGGCCTTGGCCAGAACACTCTCCGCCACTAGCCCCTGTCATTCCTTCTCGGCTTTCGCTTCTCCACTCTAGCCCAGGGTGGGGGTGGAGGTCTCCTGCGGCAGCCTCGGGCCCCGCGGCCCGTTCTTCACCGTTTCTGGAGGGGTCCTCCCTCAGAGCGAACAGGAGCTCTGTGACGCGTCAGCCGGCGGGACGGCTGAGCTGCTTCTCAGGGAAATCGCCCTGCTTCCTCACTACCCTCCCCGCTTTTGCCTCAGCGCCCCACAGGCCCGCCGAACGCCGCCTCTCGGCGATCGGAGCGAGTTCCCGGAACTCCCCCGGGGGCCTGGTTCGCAGGCACCCCTTTCCCCTCTGAACGACGCGCGCGCCCCCGACCCCCGCGGCGGCCGGACACACTCGCGTCCCGGCCCGCGCGCCGCCCTCCCGCCTGCTCCCTCCAGTCACCCCACCCTTAGCTGTCCCCGCCACCTCGCTCCACCACCCTCCCCTGCCGCTCCGCGCACTCCGCCTCTGGGCCTCCAGCTCTTCTCTCCCCGAACCGCTCACTTGCCAGCCCTTGGCCCCGGGAAGAAGAAACATTTCCCGAAGCGATCTCCTCAACCCTCCCTTCCCCACCGCGGTCGCCCTCCCCTCCCCCTGCTCTTTCTTGGGGGAGGGGGGCTGTCGCCTCAGATTGAAGGCCATTGATTTGTATGTATTTGTCCCAGTGCCGGAGGCTGCCCCAGCCGCCGGCGTCCGTGCCGCCGCTGCCAGTGGAGTTGGCTCCCTGCTTCCCTAGGGTGGTTCAGGTCCACCAAACATGTCGGCTCCAGTCGGGCCCCGGGGCCGCTCGGCTCCCACCCCGGCGGCCTCTCAGCCGCCTCCGCAGCCCGAGATGCCCGACCTCAGCCACCTCACCGAGGAGGAGAGGAAAATCATCCTGGCTGTTATGGATCGGCAGAAGAAGGAAGAGGAGAAGGAGCAGTCAGTGCTCAAGTAAGGACCGGGCTCCATCTTCTCGCCTCCCTCCTGCCCCTCCGCCCCC